TTAAAGCCACTAGTGACAATACAAACAAATGTTAGTTTGAAACAATTAATAATATCTATTCCATAAGTTTTAACCTGTTAAGCCCTGAGCCTGTTTTTCTGGTCTCAGGCTCGAAAATGACATTCCCAGAACAAATGACCATATCTTCCCTTCTAAAAGGGTTAAATTAATAATCTTTTTTCTCAAAGTAATGATAAACCTGTGAGTTGGATGTAGAAAAGTCAGAATCAATATAGATGTTTTTTATTTTAAAGAAAATTCAGATTTTTCATAGTAAAAAACTGTAATTTATAGTGTCCGTCCAAAAATTCTTTTTTACTTATAGTGAAAACCACCCTTGGATGATGGGTTAGTAGACTAAAAGCTTTAGGAATCCAAAGTACAACATATAATAAGTACCCTGCATCACGATTGATGCAAAACAAGTGACATTTGACCTTTTTAGAGAGATTTAGCAAAAAGAAACCACTTCTGGGGTTATTTGGGTGGATTTTCCATATCTCTGGCCCCCCTTGCTCGATTTTGATGGTTGATACCTCTTTCTGACCGATAGAGCCAATAGAATCGAAGGGGGAGTCCCCCACACACACACGTTGTGAAGAGAAAAGGTGGGGGCTTCGCGCATGTAATTTTCAATCAGAGTGAACCTATCTCTAGCTTTGACATCTGGAAACGGAAAAGCAGTTTTAATGCTTATGGATTATCAGAAATCATTTCAAAGGGACACAGACACATTAGATTAACCTATGGATTAACTTCAGCAGCGTTTTTTATCGTTTTAATGCCATTGAAGACCACTTTGGAGAGACTACAGAGCCATGGTAAAAATGTTAGCATTTTAGCTACCTAGCGTCACCTGTTTTGATGTCCGTTTTTGCTTATAACGTCGCAAATACGTATAATTCAGTGGTAATGTTGGTGTCAATAGATTCTGTGTCACCTCACGATGTGAATCGATGTGTTGGATGTGGTGAAAAGATAAATAATAAGGTTTTGTGAGTGATTTTCGGTGCAGTAAGGTGTTAGCATTTTTCGCTCGTTGCTAATTCAGAGGCTCAGTGTTAGCATTGTGGGTTTTCTTTTGAAAAAATGATCAGTAAGATGAGTTTCTTCCCGTTATATGGATATAAAACATTCATAGTTTTATTAAAGGGCCCATGTCATGGCCATTTCCACTGATCATAATTACATTGTTGAGGTATATTAAAATAGATTTATACTGTGCAATTTTCCAAACTCACATTGGTTTCGCATACAGCATCTCTGTAAAGTATGTGTATTCAGCAGTATTCACTCTCTCCACTAAACGACTCGTTGGAGCTCTTGCCCCCCCCTCCCTGTGAGCCAGGTGTACTCCGATTGGTCAGCTCGGCCACTCTGTTCTGATTAGTCAACCACCAGAGAGGCTCCGCCCATGTCTAACAGTGCTTTTTTCGGTTCGCTCTCAGAACATCAGTCTTATAATGGCGTCGGTACAGCCGTATATTTTATACGCTAACTAACTGAACTGTACCTACAACTGTTGTTATAGAAGAGTGTGACGGCCCCAGGGCCATTTGTGCAGGTGTGTTGCAGGTCTTACGATGGCTAATCAGCGCGATCACGGACACCTGGCCGGAGCCGAGGTGCTATTAAGCCCAGCTGCCCGGAGTCACACGGCGGCCCCTGTCTCTCTCCAAAGCGGCTGCAGAAGGACGAACTCGGCGATCCTCTCCCCTCGACCACCTATCTCTGCATTTACCACAATAAATGTGCCGTGGTTTTGTAAACTCGTGTATGTCTCCTTGTCTTTCCGTTGTGGCCTACGAGCCGGTCATAACAAAGAGTAAGTTATTTTTACCTGTAATAAACTACTACTGTTTGATGAGAAATCAAATCATGGTTTGCTATATATGAATGATATGTTATAGGAGCAAATAATTCAGGGAAGAAAGGATAGGCCTACTAAGTATTTCCATTAAACTTTATTTTTAGAAATGTACAAAATGAACATAAATATACATATATACACGGTATATCATCAATTCCTCCCCGTTGTCGGCATCTTGCCTTTCGCAGCCGGGGCTTTTTAGGACGATGCATCAGTGCGGTAGTCCCGTCATGTATTGGCCGGCAGGATTTGGCTGGACGAAATCAAATGCAAATCACAAAATATTAGAGAAACTTAGTTGTTTTAGATTCGTTAGTAGTAGTTGTGGTAGGAGTGTGGAGTAAGCTTGCCAGCTAATATGCTAACCTAGCTTTGTTTACTTTGGTAGCTAACAGGATATGAACGCTAGCTCGGAGGAACGGCAACTATAATGTAGAGTAATAAAACTACTATGAACAAAAGCTAGTGGTTCATATTAGGCTAGCAATAACGTGTTTATAATTGCAATCTTATACGGGTAGTCTGCTACGTTCGGTCATAGAATGTTTCCCGCTAGCATGTATAGCTAGCCTCGTTAGCTATACATGCTATCAGCGTCGGAGGAAAGCTAACTGTAATGTACAGTCCTTTGGGGGTCTGTGAGCGGACTAATAAACGTAGTTGTTTGATGTTCGTCAGTTTGCCAGCTGGATTACAATGCTAATCTACGTTTGCTAGTTGTTCAGTTGTTCAATATGCTTTTCTATACTATGAACAACAGATAGTGGTTCATATTAGGCTATCAAGCACATGTTTACAATTGCAATCTTATATGGGTAGTCTGCTACATTCATTGTAGCTGGCATAAAAAAAATGTTTTTCAGAGCAAACTCATGTCTAGCTCTTACCCCATTCAAAGTGAATGGGCAGAAGCGTTCCAAGATTTTTTTTAACGCTGCTGTGTGTACGGGCCGTTAGTAGCCTTGTTGTTTAGCTCGGTAGCATACATACTACGCCAGCTATAATGTAATTACGTTTCGCGACTGACCGTACGGCAAATCACCCGGAGTATACGGTCTATGAGTATTTCATGTGTGAATGCAGACATTCTCCTGCTATGAGATACATGTATGTAAGGCCATCTGCTGATATTAGAGTTGATATGGAAACGCTAGCAACTTAGTTAGCACAGTGAGCACTGGCTTAGCAGTCCGAAACATGTTTACACATTTAAACAGTCGTGGCAGATACCTTGTTTGATAAATACACAAATAACAATGCAAACTTACAGGTTGTGTACCCGAATCTTCCCCTGCTCCAAACGGTCCAAACAAACTCGGAATAGCATCGTCCTTCAGTTTCAAATGCTGTGCATATCCGGCCTCAAACTGGGCAATGTTTTGGAAGCTTCCGTCTGTGAAATGCCGGTTCTTCGAACCTCTGAAAGAACAGTGTTAAAAAGAAATTTCAACCACTGACTGGTTCTTCCGTCGGTAGGACAAACAGCTCAGATTTCTCCTCACATTTCAGGAAACAGGTCCTTGGCAGTGGCATGACTGGATCGATTGTGAACTGAACCAGAGCTTCCAACAGTAAATGTTAGGCTGGCAGAGGGTGCGGCCAGCGCCGCTGGCTGTGTGGCCATAGCTCTTCGGGATTGGTCCATTTCGTTCCGGGTACCGCATGACATCATGCCGTACCCGGAACTAAATGGAAGACTCAAATGGGCAGTGACGTATCTCCAACGAGGCGTTTTGGGGAGGTATTTTCTGTGTTAGAGTTTTACTCGCTACAGGGTGTACTTTGAGGGTTTTGACTCTGCACACCGTTTACATGCATACAAACCTTCATAACACACAAGGGGACGGGTAATAACCGGAAAAGCATGACATGGGAGCTTTAAATGGACATGCCCTCAGACACTGTTTCCTGCAAGATGTTGCGGCAGTGCCCCGGTACCAGGGTCTCTCGGGCTTAACAGGTGAATATGACTACACCCAAATCTCATTTGCAATAGAACAGTAGTAGAAGTAGTTTCCATACAACTACTGGTTAGTGTTCAATAGCACCCTAGACAATTCAGTAATGGTATATTTTTTAGGGATTTCTGTTTTTCTGATAATTGAGAGAAAAGTGATTGAGTCCTATGTTCCTATCACCAAAAGTACAATTTCCGTCAAAACTAAAGCTAAGATTACAGGACTATAATTCAGTATTTTTTTAGTTAAATAATTGTCTGACTATTTGGTGATGTCGGACAGTCACCTGGTTCATACCTCAGCAAATCTGAAGAGGAAAAGAGTGATCATTCTCAAGTTATGGGCTTTTTTTTCACCTTTCCCATATTCGGCCTGGTCTAATTGGCTCTTTTTCAGGGATTGGGGTAGTTCTAAAGAACAACCAAAAAAAATGTTTTCCCCCAAACTAAAATTTGACAACAATCAATTTCATTAATGGGAGACCCTAAAGATAATAAAAATCATTGTTGTCATTTGTTCTACCTCGGGTAGGGGTATCTCAAAATCTGAGGGTGATTGATTGTGTGCTTCCCCAGCAGTTCTCAGGAAATAACACTGAGCCACATTGAAGAAACGACTGATTCACAAACCACTAAGATATTAGTAATTTCCCCCCACTATGACCATATTGCACCATGGGCGTCAAATTCTGGTGGGCGGGGAGTTTGAGTCACGTGAGCATCAATGTGCTCTGTCAACATCACTTTTTTAATGCAATGCTGTATTTTAGCACCATATTTGCACACATTTTTTTGCAACTAAACTTCCTCAAAAGAAAAGTCCTCTTGTATTTTTAGGACATCATGATTTCCACGAATGACAGGCAGAAAAACATTGAATTAATGATACTAAAACATATTTTCTTCTTATCAGGATATATCAGTGTGTCTGAAGGTTTCATACAGCAAAGTTAGTGAGAAGGCAAGTTGTACAAATGTTAATATTTTCTGTGCATTTTTTATTCACTTTGCTCCTTGTGGTCTCTTCAATTTCCCATTGCATTGAGAATTACTTCTTAATTTGCAAATACTATCAAATACAAATACTACTAAAAGGACTAAAGTCACAAAAAGGAAGTGACATTTTATTTAAAACAGGAAGTACATCTTTCTCTCTTCTACAGAGTCATTAGTTCAGAGAGGTCAGTTGAGGGTGTGAGAGCGAGAGACAGAGACGCAGAGACACGATGGTTGAATTCAGACGGATTAATACGACTTTAGTGGTGATACTGCTGCTTCAGTTTACAGGTAAGGATGAAGAACACATACATGAACTAAAGAAACTTTACTTAAAGTATTTCAATAACTAAAACTGATTTGAGTGAAGGGCCAAGTTTGCTGTTTGTTTTGAACAAAGTGTAATGGCTGAATTCTTGGAGAAGGGACATTTGATACTGTTAGTTATATGTATTATCATCCTATCACATGACTATAAAGAAAAAGTTTAAACATTTTTATTTTCTCTTATCTTTAACAGCAGTCACTGGAAAAACTTCCCTCTCCTTCACTGTCAGAGCTGGACATAGTGCCACTTTGCTGTGTGAAAATGTGATAAAACCTCAGGACAAATGTGACAGTACTACCTGGCTCTACAGTCGTTATGAAGGGGGAACAACAATAGAGCTGATTCATCTTGGGAAGAAAAAAACAGATGTGATTTCCAAAGCTAAATCAGACAGACTGAGTGTTACAGAAGACTGTTCTCTGGTTATAAAAAATATCACACGTGAGGATGCTGGTCGTTACTCCTGCAGACAGTACAACAGATCAGGAGAACAACAAGGTCCAGACTTTCCTGTTCTTCTGTCTGTTATTATCAGTGAGTATTTACATCATAATGTTTCCTCTCATACTGTCAATATACTATAACACAACAATAATTATAATATCAGTGGAAAAGTAAATGTAACTCTTGTTGTCTTCTCTCACATTATCTGTATTTTCAGTGACTCAAGATAAACAAAATTATATGATCATCTTGTTCTGCGTTGTGTCGACATATGGAGACTGTAAACACACAGTGAAGTGGGTGTACGAGGGTAATCAGAATGATGTGGAGATAAGACCAGCTACCTGTGCATCCAGGGTGAGATTTGCTTCTCATCCTAATCAAAAGTTGCTGAAGTGTAACGTGACAGATACTAACCCCTAGATTCCACCGGGTCCGTCTGCGCCGCGTTGCAGTTTTGGTCCGACCTCCTCCGGCGTCATACCCTACCAGGCGCGTTTCAGAAGCATTTCAGAAGCGGAGCGTCTTGCCTGCCGGCTCGCAGTTTTTGTTGATTTGGGCATATTTCCTGGACAGGCTACTTTGTACAGACAAAGTTAATAATAACTGTAATATTCCAGTTATAAACGACATGAATCAAAGATGTGTGCTGTATTTTAGTGGTAAAAAAATGCATTCATCATCATAATTATTCTATATATATAATTTACACAGTGCCTGTAAACCGGAGGAGAACGCTGGCATTTCTCCTCCTACTTGAAAGACTACGGAGGGATAGGGTCTGCAAAATTAGTTTGTGTGTGTGTATATATAGCTCTGAACGTTCCACTTCCTGCCTGCCCGACCTTACGTTACGGCTGCGCCGCGACAAAAATAGGATTCGATCCTAATTTTAGAGGAGCCCTGCGCCGAGACGCTTCTGGGACGCTTCTGAGCCGTAACGCGCCGCATGTGGTGGAATAGCACCCATTGACTAGAGTGGCCGCGATCGCCGTGAGCACCGCGGCGCAGCCGTAACGCGCCCGTAACACGCCCGTAACACGCCCGTAACACGCCCGTAACGCGCCCGTAACGCGCCGCAGACGGACCCGGTGGAATCTAGGGGTAAGACTGGGGAAACGCTGCTGAAACAAATGTTTGGTAGTGGCCAACTTCTGTGTCAGTCTGTGACATCATTGGGCCCAAAATCCTTTTCCCATTGACTTACATTGGAAAAGAGACGTCTGCAGTGGCGGCAAGCCCATAGGGGCGCCGCCCCCCCTCTTCCCACATGTTTGATTGTCATTCAAAATAAAAAATATATTAAAAAAATATATATCATTTTTATTTTTAATTAACAAGGTAAATATTATATAGTTGGTATCAGTAAAATGTATAATCTACAATAAAATCTCGTTTAAAATTGTGTTACGATGTCTAAAGTTACTAATAAGTCACATGTTTCCTGCCTGGCCGCAGCGTGTATCATTACCCTCTCTCGTCTGGGCGCTAAGAAAGGAGCCCTCAGCCAGTGCAGCAGCAGCCAACACATTGCTGACTGTTGCTATTTGTAAACTATGCCGCCGAAACATAATTTCAGCCAATCAGCGTCGTCAGATCTGATGGTCATAGGGCGCCAATTTCAGCGCCCTGAGCGTCTGTGAGTTGTTTGGAATCGTATCCAAGGCGTATCAGTAGTTGATGAGGATGGCTGCGTGTGCAGGTGGAGACTCCGGACCTCGGTCCCCACCCAATTCCGTCCAAGCACTACTATCAAATCCTTTTGAAAGGAGAAGTTTGGGAGAGAAATTGTTGGTTAAAGACCTTGGACCGGACCAACCCGATTTGTTTATTTAATTTATTTCCTTCTTTTCCTCCAGATGTTGTAGTTCTCTAACTGGCCTGTTGAGGGCATCCTCTGCCTTCCTTAAACCTAAAGATCTCCATCTCTCTCTCACACACACACACACACACACACACACACACACACACACACACACACACACACACACACACACACATACACACACACACACACACACACACACACACACACGCACACGCACACACACACACACACACACATATAATGTTCATATTTAGTCTCCTGATTTTAAATGGGAATTAAATCATTTGAGTGTTCCCAAAGCACCAGTGTTCTGCAGTTTGTGTGGGCCTACTGTACTGTTGCACAGTTTATACTGTAGAAACTATGTCCAGGACAAGGTATTTGAACGTTTTGGAAGATTCATAGCTAACCACACTGAAGATTATGGATTATCTCATATTTTTAAGCCTCAATTTGTAAGCCTCAATTTGTCGTCGTCGTCCCCCCCCCCCCTCTAACATCACCAGAAGTCATAATTTAAGGGGTCATTTCTCAACATTTTCTTCCGGGGGAGCATCCCCCCGGACCCGCCTAGTATGGTTTGGTCACCATTTCCACAGCCCCACCTAAAATATTTTCCCCCAGCCGCCACTGGACGTCTGTATATCTGCAGATCTTTAAAATAAAAACTAATCAACTACCCAGTACGAACACTTTTATAGCCCTTATTTAAATCACTAGGGTCTAAAAGTTGCAAAATGTGCTAAAAGCTGAATCCAGAGTTATTAAACCTCTCCATTCATTTGACTGAGACGAGATTGGCCTTGAAGCTGCAGATTGGAGGCGGGGCTTAAGTAAAAAGCATTTGTGCACTCTCTATTGGCCCAGATACGAATACTAATCCCTCGAGAGGCAGGCCATTTTGACTTCATGTGAAACATACCAACTCTCATAACAATGAACAAGGTCCCGCCTCCAACTCTGTATACATTTCTCTTTATACACCCATGGAGCATAGTTACAAAAATAGCATACTGACATGTAAGCATTTCTGTTAGAGAGACAATATTAAAACCGTCCATACCGTTATCTTTAGATCTGACTATAATAGAAAACAGACGTTCAGAGTTTCAAGGAGTGAACTTCTGTTTAGTTTTTTCGCTCCCCCTCTGCACTGCCCACAAAGCCATCTAATGATATTGGTTAATATTCTGACCAATTGTGTTCTTACAGGGTGTGAACAAACATGATGACGTGTGATATTTGTCTGCTCATCACCTCCAGAGCTCTGCTGCTGCTGCCGTTGCCCTCATTCTCACAGAAACACTTCCCCATCAGTTCTCCGGAAATAACACTGAGCCACTTTGAAGAAGCGACTGATTCTCAAACCACTAAAACATTAGTAATTTCCCCCACTATGACCATATTGCACCATGGGCGTCAAATGCTGGTGGGCGGGGAGTTTGAGTCACGTAGCATTTATGTGCCTCGTAAACATCACTTTTTTTTCATGCAGAGCTGTATTTTAGCACCATATTTGCACAAATGTTTTTGCAACTAAACTTCCTCAAAAGAAAAGTACTCTTGTATTTTTAGGACATCATGATTGCCACGAATGACATGCAGAAAAACATTGAATTAATGATACTAAAAAACTAAATCTCCTTATCAGGACATATCAGTGTGTCTGAAGGTTTCATACAGCAAAGTTAGTCAGAAGGCAAGTTGTAGTAATGTTAATATTTTCTGTGCATTTTTTATTCACTTTGCTCCTTGTGGTCTCTTCAATTTTCCATTGCATTGAGAATTACTTCTTAATTTGCAAATACTATCCCCAGAAAGTTTGGAAATGTGGAATAGCATTTCAATAGCACTGTGTGAATACAGGTTGTGATTATAGACGGAAAGTATGAGACTCTGAAACACCACGATACACAGGAAATGTCATGTGGTTAGGGTGGGTGGGTGAGTAAAGTCGTCACAAACACTCAGGTCTCAGATTATACTATAAATATTCCTTCTGTGGGATTATTAACATTTTGACCCTAGAGCTAATGTTGTTAAATGTGTCTTTTATATCCACTCTGAACCACATCTGTTTGAGCTGTTCAGATATCTACATTCACTGAGATAAAAAGCTGATCTGTCTTTTACCAATTCAACCACTAAAAGAGTGATTAAAAAAAGGACTCACAAAAAGGAAGTGACATTTTATTTAAAACAGGAAGTGCATCTTTCTCTCTTCTACAGAGTCATTAGTTCAGAGACGTCAGTTGAGGGCGTGAGAGCGAGAGACAGAGACGCAGAGACACGATGGTTGAATTCAGACGGATTAATACGACTTTAGTGGTGATACTGCTGCTTCAGTTTACAGGTAAGGATGAAGAACACATACATGACCTAAAGAAACTTTACTTAAAGTATTTCAATAACTAAAACTGATTTGAGTGAAGGGCCAAGTTTGCTGTTTGTTTTGAACAGAGTGTAATGACTGAATTCTTGGAGAAGGGACATTTGATAATGTTTGTTTATGTATTATCATCCTATCACATGACTATAAAGAAACTGTTTTCAATGTTTTCTTTTCTCTTATCTTTAACAGCAGTGACTGGACAGAATTCCTCCCTCACTGTCAGAGCTGGACATAGTGTCACTTTGCCTTGTGAACATGTGATAAAACATCAGCACAAATGTGACAGTACAACCTGGCTCCACAGTCAGTATGAACGGGCAACAGTAATAGAGCTGATTAATCTTGGACAGATAGGTAGAAATGGGATTCCCAAAGCTAAATCAGACAGACTGAGTGTTACAGAAAACTGTTCTCTGTTTATAAAAAATGTCACACCTGAGGATGCTGGTCGTTACTCCTGCAGACAGTACAACAGATCAGGACAAAAACAACAAGGTGCAGACTTTGTGGTTCTTCTGTCTGTTATTAACAGTGAGTATAAACATCATCATTTTTTCCTCTCATACTGTCAATATACTATACTATTACAATAATGATGATTACAGTGGTGAAGTTAATTATACTCTTGTTGTCTTTCTCTCACGTTATCTCTATTTTCAGTGACTCAAGATAAACAAAATGATATGATCACCTTGTTCTGCGCTGTGTCGACATATGGAGAGTGTAAACACACAGTGAAATGGGTGTACGAGGGTAATCAGAGTGACGTGGAGATAACACCAACTGCCTGTTCATCCAGGGTGAGATTTGCTTCTCATCTTGATCAAAACTTGCTGAAGTGTAACGTGACAGATCCTAGAACTGGAGAAACTCTGCTGTGTGATGCTGGCCCAAAGTCCTCGTGTCAGCAAACGGGTACATTTGATTTATTTGATTATCTTTAAGTTTAGAGATTACATTATTATGTCTCATATAGTCTCTTCTGATGTTAAGTTTGTTTGTATCCCCTTGTGTTGCGTTTTGTTTTGTAATTTCCTATCATCCTCACCAAAAGGAAGCACATCAAGAGGGATAAACGTTTCAAAAGGACCAGGTAGTAACTCTACCTCTCTCTTTCTCTGTCACACACACACTCTCTAATATGAATATATAAAGTACAGTATATCTCCAAGCGGTTGACCAATCACAACAGAGCCGCACAGCTAACCAATCAGAGCAGACTGGGCTCTGGTTTCAGACAGAGGGTGAAAAGAGGTGCTGCAGCACAGGCAGTATGAGAAAAATAAAGAGCTTTTTGAACATTAAAGCATGGAGACATGTAGAGACACTACATACTGATATACACCTGAACATCAGCAGGAGAGGACTCTTTAAAGTAGAGACACTACATACTGATATACACCTGAACATCAGCAGGAGAGGACTCTTTAAAGTAGAGACACCACATACTGATATACACCTGAACATCAGCAGGAGAGGACTCTTTAAAGTAGAGACACTACATACTGATATACACCTGAACATCAGCAGGAGAGGACTCTTTAAAGTAGAGACACTACATACTGATATACACCTGAAGATCAGCAGGAGGACTCTTTAAAGTAGAGACACTACATACTGATATACACCTGAACATCAGCAGGAGAGGACTCTTTAAAGTAGAGACACTACATACTGATATACATCTGAACATCAGCAGGAGAGGACTCTTTAAAGTAGAGACACTACATACTGATATACACCTGAACATCAGCAGGAGAGGACTCTTTAAAGTAGAGACACTACATACTGATATACACCTGAACATCAGCAGGAGAGGACTCTTTAAAGTAGAGACACTACATACTGATATACACCTGAACATCAGCAGGAGAGGACTCTTTAAAGTAGAGCCACTGCATACTGATATACACCTGAACATCAGCAGGAGAGGACTCTTTAAAGTAGAGACACTACATACTGATATACACCTGAACATCAGCAGGAGAGGACTCTTTAAAGTAGAGACACTACATACTGATATACACCTGAACATCAGCAGGAGAGGACTCTTTAAAGTAGAGTCACTACATACTGATATACACCTGAACATCAGCAGGAGAGGACTCTTTAAAGTAGAGACACTACATACTGATATACACCTGAACATCAGCAGGAGAGGACTCTTTAAAGTAGAGACACTACATACTGATATACACCTGAACATCAGCAGGAGAGGACTCTTTAAAGTAGAGACACTACATACTGATATACACCTGAAGATCAGCAGGAGGACTCTTTAAAGTAGAGACACTACATACTGATATACACCTGAACATCAGCAGGAGAGGACTCTTTAAAGTAGAGACACTACATACTGATATACATCTGAACATCAGCAGGAGAGGACTCTTTAAAGTAGAGACACTACATACTGATATACACCTGAACATCAGCAGGAGAGGACTCTTTAAAGTAGAGACACTACATACTGATATACACCTGAACATCAGCAGGAGAGGACTCTTTAAAGTAGAGACACTGCATACTGATATACCACCTGAACATCAGCAGGAGAGGACTCTTTAAAGTAGAGACACTACATACTGATATACACCTGAACATCAGCAGGAGAGGACTCTTTAAAGTAGAGACACTACATACTGATATACACCTGAACATCAGCAGGAGAGGACTCTTTAAAGT